CGAATTATCCACTAACCTAGTTTATGATACATTTTTGTCATAGATTATAAATATACATAGGCCTATATTTTTTCAGATTTATTGTTTATTTTATTTTTCTTTATAATGAAGTAGTCTGTATCTAGTAGATTGTGAAAGAATGATTATCATTTCCACACACAGATATATATAAATTCTATATTTATTTAAATGAGGGAAAAAACTTCACTGGTATCGGATCGGTATCGGTATCGGCCAATACTGAACCCTAGGTATCGGAATCGGTATCGGAGGCGAAAAAGGCGGATCGGAGCATCCCTAGTTCTGTTCTGATGAAAACATTTGAAATGGACCGTTTTTAACTTTTTACACATTGGTGACTTTATTTTAAACAAGTAACAAGTGCATAATCGTCACCACTACATTGCTTTAGCACAGCAATGTGTTCTGTTATAGTGAAAACAGTTGAAAAAAGCAGCAATAAACAGTTCTTTAACTTTTTACACATTGGCGACTTTATTGTGTTTTGTGTTCAAATAAACCCAATGTCCCCATACGAGGACATCTTTTTTTCGAAAACTACTTCCTGTTCAAAGACGATGCTTAGATATTATACTTATCAGGTCCTACTAATCCCAAACAGCATAGATAGATAATAAATGAATACATTATTAAAGCTCGGGTCTTAAGAGGTTAAGGGACTAAATTATAATAAATAATCTAGAGTGAGTTTAAAAAGACAATAATATTAAACTCACCTTTTACATAGAAATAAACAGCAGAGCTAAGATGTGATGAGTTTGGTTTTCCATCTCGCTGTCCTTTACACCAGTACTGATCCTGATCAGCTGAAACAGCTTTTACAATACTGAGAGTGTCTCCATTTACAGTGTAACGCTCAGACATCTGTAACATTACATTGTCTGTGCCTTTATACCACTCATATCTCCAGTTACTGTGAGACTCAATCACACACTTCAGATTGACTGTCTCTCCAGTGAATATAGGACTGTCTGGTGTCACAGTCAGTGTAGGTGTGGGTAAATCTGTAAAGAAAGAAAAAAACAGACTCTGAACTGAATATCTGACTTCATGTAGTTGATAGTGATATGAGTAAAATTTGCTATGTTATGACAAAAGTTGAAATAATAATAATAATAAAAGTTGTATTATTTTATTTGTTTTGTAATTTTAATTGGATTTTGAAATGAGAAAGTTGTTAAAACATTGAATTGTTTCTGTTCTGGCCGGTTGGTGGGACTTTTTTCAGTCAGATGTTTTAGCATTTAGCTGACACTTTTATCCAAAGTGACTTACAAATGAAGACAACAGAAGCAATCAGACCAACAAAAGAGCAATAATATAAGTGCTGTGACAAGTCCCGGTTAGTCTAAAGCAGTACATGTAGCAAGTTTATTATTATTATTATTATTTATAATAAATAAAAATAAAACAAGTATAAAGAATAGAAAAATAACAGACAATGCTAGTGTTAGAGGGTCAGTTTTCTTTTTTAAGAGCTCATGAGGTAATAATACTCTTCAGAGAAAATGGAAAACTTCTAGGTTTCTGTTTTCAGCCTCCTACAACGAACACCATAATTAATTAATAACATTAAGTATAGTTGGTGTAAAATATCTTAACTCTCATGCGCTGTTTGTTTACATGGTAGAACATTTTTCCAAGGATAATTCATAATTATAACAGTGGTTAAGCATATGCTTTTTTTTTTTTTGATTATTAGGTTCAGGATGTACACTCAGGATGTTTGTTTCCCCACAGCCCAGATGATAACATGCTTTATTTATTTGTTTTGTTTTTTTTAGTATTTAGTATAAATAAAATAACTTTTTTATGTAAATTCTAACTTTCATTCATGGAGATAACATGGTC